CATTGCTACCGCAGCTAAATTGATTAGCTGTTCGAACTAACACGCTACAGCGAACCATATAGTTGCGCCTCACAGCAAATGCATTTTGCCTATAATAATTAATGTCGTTGCTACAGTAGTTAAATTTATTAGCTGCGGCAGCAACATTAGCTGTCCCAACTGCCACAGCTAGATTTTTAGCTTCTGTGATTAATTCTCCCTCGGCGCGTAGAATCTCGGTCGGAGGGACGATGAGTTCCTTCGACTTGCCCTTCACCGCGAGAGACTAGACATACCGATCTCATTAACAGTACGATTATAATTATAGCTTATATAGAAACGAAAACTTCTCCGGGGGCTGCGCTCGAGCCCCGCTTTCGCAACCGCTCCTCCCCCCGCCGCAATTCCGCCGCGAGGGAGGCTACGAGTTGCTTATTTTTTTTCTTTTTGGAACACCTTGGGAAATCACATTGCGCCCAAGAGAGAGAAAGACAGAGTTCTCTGGGTCCGTCCCGCCGTCGTTTTCCTCGGCGCTGAGAACTTGCCGGCGAGAACGACCGGTATATCGGTCGGCGACACTACCGGATGCAAACGATCGTCGCTCGATCCCCCGTTATCACGGCTCAACGTGACTAGATTTATCCGACGGCGGCGGCCGTCGACTCGACCTCGACGTCTTGGCGAAATTCAATTCCGCTCCTGCGAGGCACTCCCGGACGGGGAGGTCACCGACGAAGAATCGGATGCGCGAAGCGGCCTCTCCGGCGACCGGAGACACGTACTCGTGGAGACGGTCCAGCCGACGTTCCGATCAAGAAGAAAACGAATCGAACGCGCTAACATGTAAACTACGGCTTAATTTCTCTCTCTTTCTCTGCTTCGACTCGGATCGTTTCGGCGGATACATCTTGATCCAAGTCGAAATTTTAGTTCTACATCGAGTCGAATTCTACATTAAATCATCAAAGGTATCCTATCCTATTGCGCTCCTTTGATGCTGCAAATGTGAAGTTATTTTTTCTCCGTTAAAAGACTTAATAGAATTCAAAATCCCCCCGGGAGGTCCCATTTCTTTTTGTGTCATCGGGGGAGCACTATCAGTTAGTTTCTCCACTTGAAGACTTAATGTAGAACTGAGTAGACTTAAAGCAGGACCAAAATTTCGACTCGGGGAAATTTATACACTCGTTCTCCGCTCTCGCGTATATCCCGATTTCTCGTCGCTTCCTCGTTCGCCGAGGACGCGCCTCGTGGTCTCCAAAACTTCGCGCGATTACGATTCCGCCGTCGAGTCGTCCGCTGACGTCGCACGCCGATGTCGCGATCGGACCGGCGACTCGTTGCTCTCGTTGAGACAAGATTGCTGAGAGCGGAATCTTATTTGTGCGACGCTCGAGGCGGTGATACCCCGATAAGAGTTATTTACAAAATTCGTGCGATACCGCCGTCGCCGATGACGCCGACGACTCCGCTCGATTTAGACCGTACTAATGAAATAACTTGATTCTTGTTCTTCGGAACGCCGCGTCAAGCATTCGGTTTGATAATTTAATCAGCCGAACGGCTCGCTCGAGCTGAACGGATTTCGCGGGAGACGCAGTTTTTTTGCTCTTACTCGCTCGAAATAACAATCTTTGTGTTGGAGCCGTGAATCAAGTCGGCACGAAGGAAGGATATTAAACTTCCTTGACCGCATTTTCGCCGCATCTTTCTTTCTCTCTCTTTCCTTCCTTTCTTCCTTCCTCTCTTTCTTTCTCTCTCTCGTGTTGAAAGGCCACGATTATACTCGTACATCTCGCACCTCTCAAAATCCCAATTAACAAATTGCTAGATATCACGATGTTCGATAGCGAATAATTAGATAATCAAGTTCGCTAAAAATTTTACTTCGCCTAGAAACTTATCATCTAAAATCTGTCTCGCTCGTCGCGTCGTCCTTTCTTCCCTCCTTTTTTTTCTCTCTCTCTCTCTCTCAATTCAATCTACAGGTCGACGACGTCGCGAATTTAACCGAAACTTGCACAGGACCCATCGAATTATATATTCCTTCCTCCCGCTTTTCGAATTCGTCTCTATACCCTGCCCTCTCCTCCCGCCTCGACGCTTTCGCTCGCTCCAATTTCTCTCGTTTAGTTTCGTCGAGAGAAAGGGAGAGAAAGAGAGGGGAAAAAGAGACATGGAGAAAAACCGAGCGACAAAGAGTGACGGTCGCAGGTAAGAATATACTTAATCTCACGTAAGAACACAAGTCTCCTCCACGATCGGTCGTAGCCCGATTGTTTGAGGCGTACCGTCGGTTCCCTCCGGTCGATTTCTCCATCTGTCTCTCTCTTCCTCCCTCCGTCTCTCCCTTTCTCACACATGCACGCACACATACACATATACACACGCACACATACGCATACACTTGATTCGCCTACCGGACGCGCACAAACATCTCTCCCGATATTTCTCCTCGATCACTTTGCTCTGCACGCACTCCCTCTCTATTCCCTCTCTCTCTATTCTCTCCCCCTCTCTCTCGCGCGCGCGCGCGCCTTTTTACATAGAATACGATTAAACTTCGTCGCCTAATATTGCATGCGCGTGAACACATTTCAAAGGTGAAACAGAAAGACAGTACTCCCTCTCCCCGACTCGCCCTCTCCGCACGTAGCGACTAATAAACCTAACGTGAAACAGAACAACGTCGCACGTGTGTTATACAAACTGCCCAGACGTCTTGCTCCCTCCCCTTTCTCCCGAAGGTTAATAATTTTTTTCCTTCATTCTTTCTTCCTTCCTTTCCTTCTTTCTTACGAAGAATTCATTAACGATAATTAGGACCCGCGGTCGAGACGCCGATTGCGCCTTCATCGCGCACGCTGAGAATGCCGAATTTGTCGTGTGTCGAGAGCGACGATTTGACGAGATCGCGGGCGACCAATCGAGAATCTCCACCCCCCCCCCCCNGGGCCACCAATCGAGAATCTCCCCCCCCCCCCCCTCCCTCAACAGAGTAATGCTCGGCGAGCGAGGGATTCAAGAGGACGCCGGTGTCCTTGGAAACGAAGCGGAAGCTCGCGAAATGAACGCCAACGGAGATGTACACCAGGTGCCCGACGGGGATTCCGCCTCTCTGCCTCGCGCATTCCACACGCACGTCACGTTGGTCACAAAGGGAAACATATCGGTAAATTTCATTGCAATTTCTCCTCGCGTCTCTCTCTCTCTCTCTCTCTCTCTCTCTCTCTCTCTCTCTCTCTCTCTTTCGCTCTCTCACTCTCTTTCTCTATCTCCCTCCCTCTCTCGGACTCTTAAGAAATACAATAATTGGTGACTTCTCATAAAATAATCGAGTGATTCGCTCTGTCTCGGAACTGAGATTCGAAGTCGACGGCGCGTTCGCACGTCCATCCCCTTTTGGACGTATGTGTGCGTGCGTGTGTGTGTGTGTGTATATGTGTGTACTATCGTGGCTTTTAGTAGTTTCCAAACTTGATTTAATCGAGCTACGTATTTCGTTTTCGCGCGAGTAAAACTGGCAGCATTCGTGATTTCACGATAAAATTATTTTTTCCAATCGCCACGAATCTCACCGTTGATCCAATGATACTCGTAGCAATTTTATATCCGAATCTACACGATAATTTATGCAAGATTGATTATCAACTCGATATATTAACAGGGGGCCAAATTATCGTAACTGAGTGCGCGGGGAAACTGAACGCCGAAATCCGGACGCGTCGCATTCGCGATCGTGAGCGCGTCGTCGAGCACGAATCCCTCGCTCAAACAGAACTCGTCCTATTTCATCAAAGAACTGAGGCCTTATCTATTTGAATAATAATAAAGATAGCGTTATATCTCGGACACAGTTGTGCGAGCCATTCGGAAACGCGAAAGGGATGCGGCGCACGCCCGTTCGACGGTTCTACCGCCCCATTAGTTTAATGCACACCGCCGCCGCCGCCGCAAACGTAACTCCCTGTTTGCGATAAAAACGTTTGTCGAACAAATAACGACCGTTGTTCGACCGATTCGCGATTCTTCCTCGATGCCGCCAATGTACCGCGCTCGATCGCCGGGCGCATCGGGTTGCAGCCATCAGTCGGGCAGCTCAGCTCGGTTTAATTAAAGCGATTAACTCAATTTCCTCTCTGTGTTGCAACTGGATCAATGACCCAGAAAGAGATAGACGATCGTTGAAAAAACAGAATTAGCCAGCCAGCACCGTCGGTGCCGAATCCGCCCTGTTTCCCCTCTTCTCGCATTAATTATCCTCGACGCTAAAATCCACGAAGAAACAACATTTATTCATTCCGATCGCTAATCACAATCGGGAAATCGGCCTTCGATCGTTTCCAGCTTTCGAGATTGGATTTCAGTTGCAAGTCGCGCAAACAAATCCGCTGCCGGGCGAAACGAGATATCTCCGTGCACATCAATTTTCTCCACTATGCACGCCCTTTCCTCCGACACAGTTCCCACACGTTTTAGAGGAGAAGAATAATTGATTTTGGGTGTAATTGAAATTCAAGAGGGATCGAGCGGGATTAGCTCGCGTAAAGCGAAAGAATACCCTTTCGCACCGTGAAGAGGGAGTTTGACACCGTCGATCGTCCGAGGTACATGCGCGCAGCGTGCGAAGAAGAACACACACTCGACGTCACATCCGTCGGAAGAATGCACATCTTTTCGTCTTGGGGGAGGGGGGGGGGGGCGTGGGCGCGCCCCGTCGCGCTCTCGCACGGCCGGCCACCTCGTGTTTTTTTTTTTATGGTATGCGTGTGTAACGTATGTTTGATGTTTACCTTTAAATCGGTACGTAGTATATCGTTTTTAGTCGTAATAAGTATATTGATATTGAACTACCTAGCCTAATATGTACAGAGTTTCCGTTTTTTTTTTCACTCTTGGCACTACATTAATCCTCCTAGCTCCTCACATGCATACGCAACGCGCGCGCGCACTTTCTTCGTTCTTTCTCTGTGTGTTCTCTCTCTCTCTCTCTCTCTCTCTCTCTCTCTCTCTCTCTCTCNTCTCTCTCTCTCTCTCTCTCTCTCTCTCTCTCTCTCTCTCCTTCTCGGTATTTCTTTCCCGCGATCCTGCAATTAGCCGCGCTTTTTTGCGCGGTTTCTCTTGTCCTACCTACCTATCAGACTTACCGATCTCTCTCTTTCCTCGCCCCCGCGCGCGCGCGCGTTGCGTTTACTCGTACGCACGCCTGGTCGCACTCACGCAATCATCATCATCATCATCATCTGCATTATCATCAACATCATCATCATGATCAGCATTATCATCGTCATAATTATCATCAACATCATCATCATCATCATCAAACGATTCGCTCATGCAATAACTCGCGTAAATGTGTGTGTGCGTGTGCGTGTGTGTGTGTGTGTGTGTGTGTCGTCCCCGTCGCTTCTCCACACAACAACAAAACCACCAACCACCGCGCGAGGAAGCCAACCGCTCGCGCTGTCCGGCCGCGTGTTGCGCGCGCGCGCGCGCGCAGCAGCCGCCCGTCGCGAATAAAATATCGTGTGTCGGCAATAAATAATTTACTAAGTCTTCGTCGCGATGAACAAACTTCCGCGATGTCCGACGAATCGAGCCTCCGCCGAGGGCCGGAAGAGAAGGCGCGACCGGCGGCCGCCGGGATATCCAATCTGCTACGTAGGCGCCGCCGGTTGATATCGCGAGCCGCGAATCCCGCCCGTCCGTCGCTTCTCCGCGAAGTGGAGCCTCTTCTTCGCCGTCGTGTTCGCCAGAAATCCCCGGACAGAGGGGGAGTCTCTCGTCCAACTACTAGGTAGGCCGCTTCTTCGCGTCGCGCGTTGGTAACGCGGCTCTCCACCGCGCCGGGCATTCGACCGTCTCCTCCGCTTTTTCTTCCCGTCTGTGTGTGTGTGTGTCTCTCTCTCTCTCTCTCTCTTTCTCCCGCTCCCGCCCCCGTTGATTTTCCACCAACCCTCGTAACCGCTCCGCTTTGGAATAATCTGAGATCTAGGCTAGACACTGGCCGCGTGTGGAATTGCACAATGAGACGCGTCGTCATCGACGGCGACGCAGCGGGCGCGTCGACTGCCCCGGTGGAGAAAGAGGACAGGCGAACCAACGCACGGCGATTGAGCGCAGTCTTTGATGACTGACGATTTCACTCCAGTCAGTTCGGAGCCGGGGCTTTCCACCCTCCGCCGGCCCTCCTTTAGGCCACGAACGGACGATCCTCTTTCGCTCTGTTACTTTCTCTCTCTCTCTCTCATTCTCTCATTCGCTCTCTCTATCTCTCATTATTAAGAACGCCGGAAGAACGATCCAACGAGGATACCACCGGCTGGGATACCCTCCTCTTCAGTGTCTCGCGCACCGTGCGGAGTAAGTCATCGCGCGCGCGTTGACAGGTGCAACAGTACTCCTCGCTGAACACGATGGGACACGACCGGGGGACCTATCCTATGTTGAAGCTTCTCCCGCGAGTCAGTCTTGAAGGACAGTCGTCGATCCATCGCTCGTTCTCGAGGGCGATGCAGCGGCTGCGACGACAATGGCGGCAACGGCAGCAGCGGTGGCGGCAGCTGCGGCAACAACGACGACGGCGGCGTCGTTCCTCAGCGCGAGCGAGGAGGATGTCGTCGTCCTCCACTTTGTCACCGGTGACGACGACGACGACGATGCGGCGTCGCCGCGCATTCTCTCCCTCGGTCTTATTACCACGGATCAGACGTTCTGCTGCTGCTGCTGCTGCTGTTGCTGCTGCTGGTGGTGGTGATGATGATGGTGGTGGTGGTGGTGGTGATGGTGATGATGGTGATGGTGCTGTTGCTCTTGCCGGCTCTCCTCGGTCTCACAGGGCACCACGGTGAGGTTGGACAGATTGCTACTGCTCAGATTGCTCAGGTTACTATTGGACTCGGAATAATTGGACATGGCCGGTCTCCTGCTCGGCACCACCACCGACGCCGCCGTCGTCGTCGTCGTCGTCATCGCCGCCGCCGCCGCCGGCGTCGAGCCGCCGGAATGCGGGAACCTCCGGAATACCTTGAGGAGCGAGCTGCCGGCGCTGTTGCTCCGCATTAGCCGCTCGCCGGGCGTGTCCGTCATCAGGCCCGAGTGGCTACGGTAAGGCGGCGGGCTCTCGCTGTCGAACACCGTGCGATTCGGCGGCGGTCGCACGCACTTCTGGTAAATCTCGCTCTCCTGCAAACGAGAGATTCAATTAGTCCTCGGTCACGGCAGAAGGGGGAGCGGCACGGTGGAAATTCGCGCGACCCTTGGACGTTCAAGGTAGAGCCCCCGGGTCGATAACGAGGCTCGGCGACACCTACGCGCCGGCCAGCTATCTTGCGCGACGTGCGAGGACGAGAGAAGGTGAAAATCAAGTGCCGGTCTGCTGGCGATGGGAAATGGTGAAAGAGAGGGAGGGGGAGAGACAGTCATCGCGGTTCTTCGGTGTTCGCGAACTTACAAGGAGTTTGCTTCTATTTTTCGCGAAGCATCGATCACTCGACTCGCGCGCCGATCGCGATAGCGTTAAGCCTCGCTCGAGCAGTCCGCAGTTTAATATCCCCGCCGTCTGCGAACGATGACGAGGCGTAATAAGTACTTGAACCTGAGGGTTTTGCGCAGCGGACAGGAAGCGAATAAATAAATATGTTTTTCGGTCGTTCCCCCCCGGCGAGGACAAGTCCCGTCGCGACGGCGCGTGTCGGTTCACCGTCTTCATCAGAGGCGTTCGTTTGAGACGGGAGGTAAACGCCACCCCGAGAATCACTCCAAGTTTCCGGAGATTTTCGAGCGAATTTAATAGCGAATTCAGCCGCTCGCACTACGCCGCAAATCTTTTAGCCGAAGCTCTTCTTGCACGTTTCTTACACATGTTTTGCCATTTTAAATCACGACTGTTAACACGTCGTAATTTAACATGTTAATTTAACGATTTAAAGTTTTAAACGACGTAAATTAAATCTGCAAAAAACATAAAAGTAGCTTCAGTAAAATATGTAATTTTTGGACGTTTATGCGTGTAATGATATACTTGGATTTATAGTATAAGGCTCGTTTATAGTCCGTTCTTATGTTTCAGGTCACCTTAAATATATCTTCAAAATTCTTAACCAATAAAACGATCTGCACGGGTGCTGTACAGATCACTTTGCTAACTAAGAAGTATTTGAAGGTCTATTCAAGACTATCTTTAAATATAAGAACGGACGATGAACAAGCCTTAGCGCATACTAGTTTGAGCGACCGAATTCGCTATAAGATTAATCCGTTTATCGAATTAATTTCTCCGAGTTTTCCATCTGTGATCAGTTGTGGGGAAAAATTAAGGTAAATCGAGTTGCAAATAATAGATGCTAAAAAATCCCGAGGAACAACAAAGAGTGCAGTCTCGTGCAATTTCGATCAAGATAAGGGCGGGGAATCCACGAAGAGATAGTTTCAAGAAAAATATCCCCTTCCCTCCGAGAATCCTCCGTTTTCCCCGGAAGAGTATTCCTTGAGAATTATTATATAGTTATCATTATCATTATCATCATCATTATTATTCAATGAGGGTAAGAAGTGGCTGATAAGAGCCAATCGTAAGAGTTGCTCGCAATAATATTACACTAATACAACGAGAAGATATAATTATATTTGCCGCCACACACGTGCCGAGATGTGGTTGCTGGACTTTCTATGTGCGCGACCAATTAGTAACAAATCGTTACACGTCAAAGGTTATTTTATAGCTCTCGATTTTTTAAAATAATATGACTCTTTCTCACACATACATCTCCTGTCTTATTAAATTAACGTTGAAGAAAGTTTGTACTATTGCGAGAAATATTGCTCGTAAAAGCGAGGAATCGAACTCCCAAAATTCGTCTGGCAATCTTCAGATCGAACCGCTTTGTTAGTGCAATATTATGACAACCAACACCTCCGATCAGCTCTTACTACAGTGAAACGTGAGTTTGGCTGGATCTGTCTGACAACCAAACGCGTTCTGGTTAAAGAAAAGGAAATTCCTGGTTGTAAGAACCAAATTTAGTTCATGAGAACTTTTGGGAGATTTTGTTTCCTTCAACCAAGACGCATTTGGTTGTCCATTGTCAAATAGATTCAATCAAACTTACTTTTCAGCCACTTTTTTTCTTTCCTTGAATTTTTCAGAATATCGTTATCACAGCACCGTCAGTCATCGGAACAAAAAAAATGAAATAGTGACTGCTTCTAGGCAAAAAAGGTGACGAAAATGATCTTTCAGACGCCAAAACAATGACCAAAAATAATATTTTTGTCAAATTCCGAGAGTAGTTAAGGCCATTTAAGCAATAAAAATAATATTTACTTTCCCAGGTTTATCTTTGGGATAACTCAACATATATAGCGAGTTCTTTTCATAGTATCGTTTGAAAGTTCATAACAAGGAAAGATCAAGGGCATAGATGATACAAGTACGCTTTCGGAGCAGTTTTATTAAGAGAGACGGCAAAAATATATATAGAATGCCTATATTTTACAAATTTAGCTGAGGAAAAAAGTGACTATATTAAACCGTTTTAGACAATAGTGAATTTTTTTAGTGACAAAAGTGTCAAGGAAAAGTGTTGACAAAAGGTGACTTGAGTGACGGGATGAATAAATCCAACCAAACTTATTTTTCGGTATATAGTCACTTTTTACTTTCTCTCTCCCCCCCCCCCTTTCGTTGAATTCTTTAAATTTTATCATCGTCATCATCATTACCATTATTATTATTATCATTAATTCCAAGTTTCCCAAGTTCCCGGGGACGACGGACAGTCCCCGGACCCAGAAAGCCGAACCTCGTCTCTCACCTGTTCCGGGTCGCGGAGGTGGAGGCCCATGTGCGCTCCGTACGGACGTTCCTCGCCGTCCGGGAGTTGCAGTCTCGGTGGTAAGTCGAGGACGAGATCCTGCCGTACGCTGCCCATGCGAATCGCCCGATCTCTCTGCGCGGCGATCATCACTTCCTGTATGTCTCTGCTGTTGGAACTACCACCGGCACCGCCGCCGCCGCCGACACCACCGACACCGCCTCCACCGCCGACGCCACCACCGCCGCCGCCGCCACCTCCTCCTCCTCCACCTCCTCCTCCCCCTCCGCCACCGCCGCCTCCACCGACCGCACCAGACGGGTCACCGCCGAGACCACCGTGTGCACCGTGTCCGCTGCTGCCGACCTCCATTCCTTGTGTCACCGACAGCATCTGCAAGCGCGACGATCGATTTTAGGGACGAACATTCGGCGAATAGAGTCGCCGGATAGCGATGTGGATATCGCTGCTAGAAAATTTACGATATCGCTAATTCGCACTCGACACGCTGGCCGCTGATCTCCATTCACTGAAAAACACGTTTAGTTGACTCAAAATAAAATTTCAGTTTAGATATGAACAAACAAATGTTTCGCTTGTGAGAATCAAGATTTAGTTCTCTGAACTTAAAGGTTTGGTTCTCTGAAACCGAACTTTTTTTCTTCATTTTCGTTTCAGAGAACCAAATTTTGGTTCTCATTACCAAAACGTTTGTTTGTCCATATCCAAATAAATGTTTATTTAAGTTAACCCTTATCGGATGCTAGCTTTTTATGCGTGATTCTCACTAGGTTGTAGCTGGTTTCGGTAAATATGCGAACTTGTCACTTCCTAAGTGATGTACGACCGCAGCGACGAAGTATTGTTGTCACGTGAGAGGTGACTTACGACCGATAAGGGTTAACTAAATAGGATTTTCAGTGTTGTTCATTCGAAAGCTCAATTAAAGTTCAAGCAATCAAAGATATGGTAAGTGCGATTTCCTCAGAGACTTATATACATAGATCGAACGCTTCCACAAGAGACTGCATGCCGTGACTAGGGAGAGAAGTAGCGTGGGTCGCAAGCAACCCATCTTTGTCTAGCTTCACTCTTAAACCCTCACTTTTCCTTATATGCGACGAGGATAACATGTCTGCAGACAGTGGAAGAAGAATATAGCTATCCTTCAGTCTTGTCTTACGAGCTGTCATAAGAAGGCGCAGTCTATGTATATAAGTCTACGGATTTCCCTCCGGACGCGTATATCTTGCACCTTTGTTTCAGGGATCCCTTATTGATCACGTGCATTTCATTTAAGATGTCTGTTTTGTACGTGAGTTAATTAAACGCGTCAGTCATCCGCGATCGCTATGGTAACCAATGAATTAAACAGGTGGATCGCATTGAATGGATAGTTTTATTACATTGTTCTATTAGAATCATACTTTAAGTGCATGTAAGAAAATAAACAGCTAGAATGTGGTATTTATATAAAATGAGATGTTAAAAAAATACTACATAATATATCGGATATTAAATATTAAGAAGTACGTAATAGTAAAATAGTAATAAAAGAGGTAGATAATATTTTATAATAACATTTAAATAATAATTTTAAATATAACAAATATTTATACTCATACTTAACAAAATATTATTATTATTAAACTTATGAAAAATATTAAGATATTAAATATAAATATCTTGATATTTAGGAGGATAATTATATACTAGGTATCTTATAATTGGAATTTTTTATATCTCTGCTAAACGAAGCAAGTGGAAACGATCTTCTAATTGTCGCAATAAAGTGTTACACGCATACAGAAGGGAAGGTGGGCGACCACGATCGCGCGCAAAAACGCCGAAGGTGAAGAGATTGCGGGTGTGAAGCCACCGTCGAGCCGTCGTGAATAAATTAGCGCAGAAAATGAAATCGCTCGACCGTTCGATCAGGAGCGTCAATTGCACGTGGATATAGAGATATCAGTGACGCGCCGTTGCACTCGGTTCACGATAAACTTGCATATAAATCAGATCATTATATCGGCGGGATTTAATCTCCGTGACATCGACTATTCATGTACAATCGAACGGACAGAGTCGGGCTTTAATTCGCGACCGCTTCCGTCCTGAGACCGGCCGAACAAAAATCGCCACCGTGCATACACATAATAAACGCTAGTATTATTATTACGCTTCGTTATATATGAGAATACCCTCTGAATTTTCCGAAATTTGCCGAAAATTCACGGATAATGATTTTCCGGGGCGTAACGCCTCTTCCGAGGCAAGTCCGTAGGCAAAAAGAAAAATAAAGATATTTATAGGTGCACGATATTGGAATCCTCGACTTTTTCGGGTCATTCTCATTAGAGTCGCTTGGAATTAACCAATTAGCATGCCAAGTTTAACCAATACTTTCTCTCTTTCTCTCTACTGTACAAAACCAATTATACAAACCAATTACACAAAACCAATTATACAAAAAGCTGTTGAGCGATGAAATGCGAAATGCTGATTTCGTGGTTCAGATTATCGTCTTCTGCGGTTCGCTTTTACGCACTCGGTCATCTCATGATTGAATTATTAATATTCGTTATTCATTTTCACTCTATCGTAAGATTTTCTCGTAAGTAACCGCATCGATTACTCACTAATAAAGATTACTTTCTAGTTTTTCTATACTTATTTTTTGTATTTAGTTTCTATTTTCTATCGTTACCTGTACTCGCGCGTAGTTTCATGGATACATATTGTATCGATCACTCATTCTACATCATTCCTCATTGCGTATTTGGTTTGATTTGTTATTCATGCACTCGTCGTTATCTCTGTAACTTATTCTCAAATTTTTCTTTTTATATTTTACTATAGTATTACACAGAAAAATCAGACTTAAATTAAGATTAGATAGATTAGATAGATTAGATATTCTCATATATAAGCAAGAACATTATAATCTTTTTAGGAGATTTTTAGAAGGCCGGTATTCAGTCGAATCTTATATTTACCGTCTTAAGTTTATCTTCAGATGTTGTAGGCTCATTTCATTGGCTACGAAACATCCGCGGATGAACTTGAGACAGTCTTAAATATAAAAGATCCGATTATGAATACCGGCCTCAGTCATGATTTGATTGAATTTGTATTAATGCAAGTATTACTTGAACTCAACTTAAGACTAAAATTCTTCTAAGAAGATTATAATATTCTTGCTTATACATGAGAATATTTATTCTTCATTTAAGACTATCTTTTTTCGGTGTATTCATAATTACTTATATTTGTTGCAAGCTCGTTATAGTATATCTTAAGGGGTCTCGTCTCTTAACGAGCTCTTAACGAGCTTACAGTAAATAAAATAATAGGCTTACAAAATATAAAATAATAATAAATAATAAGTAAAATAAAAAGCTTCGATCAATCTATCTATCTATCTATCTCTCTGTCTTTGTTTTTCTCTGGGATCTTCCGCGCCTCCTCGGCCTGAGCGACTGTGCGGTTCCCGGTTAAACTCGAATTCCGAATCGAGTCTCGTTGCGCCGGTAACAATTATTTCCTTCGGATAGCAGCGGCTTCGATCTGAGACATCCGCTCTCACGCACGCACGCACGCTTGCACGCTCGTGAAAGGCGGGTCGGGAGACGTCACGTCGTGACAGTTGGCAGAGGATGGTGCGGTACGTACGCGCACCTCGAGAGAGGTAAAACGGAGAAGGCCGTACGAGCTTGGAGTGCCGACGAGCGCGCGCCGCGAAAGAACGAGGTCGCGTGCGAACGCACTCACGATCCGCGCTTTCCTTTTCGTTCGCGCGCGTCTTCGGTGGTCCCGCACGCACGCACGCATGCACGTACGTCCGTCCCGTTCGTTCGGCCGACCGACAGACCGACTGGTCGCAGTACGTCGAAATAGATCGATCTCACTCACGGAGACCGTGAGTGAGAAAGTCGCGGACGCGAGAACACCCGGCTCGCGGTTACCCTTTTCCCTGTTTCCTCTATTTTTCCGACGTGCCAGCACACGTGATGAGTGAGAAAAATCTCACCTCGTCTCACAGAGACGCGCAAAGTGTCACGAGGTGTCTCTCTGAATTTTTTTTTCTCTACGAAGAGCTCTCTTCGATATTCGTTATCGTGCGAAAATACAACGGAAAGAGGAGGCGAAATTATCTCATTGCGTCTACTCTCTAAGGTGCAATCGGTGTATTATCATTGAGAAGCAATCAATAGTCACTGGTAGTCACAGTTATAAATATAGCATCACAAATCGATGAAATTCCGCTGAAAAAGTCTGTCCAGCAACGTTTCCATCAGGGGAGTCTAGACTGCAGAAACAGTGAAAAAAGATATTACTTCTTTCTTGTTATCTTTGTAATTCTTAAGATGTCAATGATTTTATCTGAAATACTCCTGATTATATTTAATTAATTTAACTTACACTTGATTGAAAGGCATGCTCATGCTGATAGGACTCGAATCTTCTGGCTTTTGAGTTACTTTACGAACTACGTCAAATACGACATATGATTGACTGCTTATATGTATGTGTATTTCTGCTTACGGGACGCGTAACAGTGATCACGCGATTTAATGAATCTCTTACTGGCCAAAATCAGTGAAGTATAAGACATAAGAGTTAAGCGAAAGTGTTTCCACTAAAAATTAACGAATATTCACTGATTATCAGTACAATACTGTTTTATTGCTTCAATCAGTGACATTTTCGCCGATCCGACTTAGGAGCGTTGCGTACCTTAATCCCTGTATCGCATACCCGGCCGCATTCCGACGCCGACGTATGAAGAACATCATTGTGCAATTTCATGGCAAGGTGATCGCGATTTAACGAGCGATCGACACGGAAGAAACCGATGAAAGCCGCTCGTTCGCGCTGTCCTTCGCTCTTCTTTTTCTCTTTCTAGCTATTTCTCTCGCGAGCAATTGCCACGTGCGCGCTAACGACCAACGGGTCGGTCGCGTTAAAGCTTTAAAGGGGTTTTCAGCACCCCTTCCGTTCTCGCTCGTCCGAGGCCGTCGAAAGGGAAAGCGGAAGAGGGACGCGGCGGCTGCGGCGGAGGTGGAGGCGGCGGCTGCGACGACAACAGAGAGAGAGAGAGAGAGAGAGGGTGTACGGAGACGGCAACGCGACAGAGAACGACGGTGACTGACACACAGAGGGAGGACGACGAATGTACGTCCGTGTACCACTCGTATCGATCGGCTGCTCGCAGTGTAACATTACGCCTCGCTCCCATCCTGGTGTAACGTTGGACGCCTCGCGAGCCAGAAGCCCTTCGACCGGAAAAGCCGCCGACGTCGGCTGCTTTCGGACTCGACGACGACGACGCGTCTCTCGTTAACACCGATGGCACGGCGCACCGATACACGTTTCGAGAAAGGTGCAATAGT